TGAAAACCAATAAATTGCTGGAATTAGTCCAGGATAACTGATCATGTAAAAACTCTTGTAGGAATAGTAGACTGTTACATTCCTTAACTATTTAAATGTTTTGGCAATATTTCAATTTAAAAAATCATTGACACAAGATGTTAAATGTTTTCAGTATTTACAGATCAATGGAGTTGTTTTTCCTCTGTATTTATAGGTCAGCTGAATTTGCAGATTCCATGGCAAAACCTTTATAATCAACCAGTTGAAGCTGTTCTTGATGGTGTTTACTTGCTTATAGTGCCTACAGCCAGTAAGTGTGGATAGATTTATTTCTTTAATGTAATTCTCAGTGCAATCCTAAACCAAGTTACACCCTTCTAACTCCATTGAAGCCTATGTAGAGTACATTATAGTAGTCTAGTCTAAAAGTTATCAGCAAATAATTTGGTTACAAGCATTTACAGTATTTAATTCTACCCAGTGTTAATGGATCAGTCCACTGTACTGCATATCCTCATTCTTGTCCCTTACCTGTCGAAAAAATTATCCCCCTTTCTTCTACTACCCTTCAATGTTATGGCTAACCATTTGTTTTGTTGTTCAGTCGCACAGTCGAGTCCGACTCTTTGCGACCCCATGGACCACATCACGCCAGGCCCTCCTGTTTTCCGTCATGCTCCAGAGTAACCATTTGTTAACCTTATTTAAAATGGATCCAGGAATGTTCCTAAATCCTGTTTCAGAACCTGCTGCTGATCTCTGTGATTTTACATCTATACTGAACCTGGGAGCAAGCAGATATGTTTGGAGCAAAATGACTGGAGTTCACAATGCAAAGATTTAGAGGCACTAGGGTAGTAAAATGTTATTAAAATAGGAATTTTAGTCATTGACTGTAAATCGGTTTATTTTTACAGTGGTGTTTTAATTGTATCATTTTGTTATTCCAGTTGTAAGCTGCCTCAAGCAGCAAATACACTTCTAAATAAATACATACATAATTCCATTGACATGTCACACCATTGTCAAAGCAAGCTGGGAATGCATAGGCCTCAAAATAATCCTTTCTTGTGTTACACAGAGAACAATTTAGCATTCTATTTCATACTCTAATTAAGGTGTACACATATTGGATAGGTCAGACCTCCAGTCATCCAGCAGATTCTTGCTTTATACTGTGGTTCTGTCAGTGCAATTTTAAGTAATTTGTCTAAATTCATCTCTTACCTCTTAAGAAATTAATTTGACCATAAATAGAAGCAAGTTTAATACAGTTTTTCTTAAAAAAATAGGGACAATTTCTCCTTACTTGCAAATATGTGTGTTTTGTGTCACAAACAAATAGGGTTGCCAACTCCTGCTTGGGAAATACCTGGAGATTTGGGGTGGAGCCTGTGGAGGGCAGGGTTTGGAAAAGAGAGGGACCTCAGTGGGGTATAATGTCATAGAGTCCACCCTCCACAGCAGCAATTTTATCCAGGGGAACTGATCTCTGTTGTCTGGTAATCAGTTGTAATTCCAGGAGATCTCCATCCCCCATCTGGCAGTGGGGCAACCATACAACAAAGGATAGCACAAAGTATAAGCTGAGAGTTGGTTGAGAAATATCCAACTATAAGTTGGTTGAGAACTCATGGATACCTAAATATGTATTTAATTTCATTGCTTTCATAGATGCAGGGAGATCCGGCTCTCTTGTTTTTTTCCTGTTACAGCTTGTCTTTAGTATGGTTTTCAGCAGATAAGTTGTATTAAAATCTTTTTATCAGGTATTAAATATGATGCTGAAAAAGAAGAAAAACAACACTTGGAAGCTAAGCAGAGGGAACTTCAAAGGATAGAAGATGCAAAGCAGAAGATTGCTGATCAAGGTAAATAAAAATCCAATATTTCCTTTGTGGGTGGAAAAGAGTTAAATCTTTGAGTTCTGCACAATTTATCTTAGAATGTAGTTAAAGCACACACAAAAAGTGTAAGATTGGGAGAATGAATAAACATTTGTTATAGGCAAGTTTAAATAACTGTACGCCCCAGGCAGTTGGCTGTGATTTAAGTACGTATAGCTGGGCGGTGGTCTTATCTTAAAGCTATTATAACTGACTTGAATAAAGTCGCTTAAGTTGTTCTTGGACATTTAGGTAATGAATTTAAAAAAGCTAACTGGTAGACTTGAAAGAGCTGGAGAATATAGCTGGCATCCTGTGAACAGCTGGTTTTTATGGTTGCTTGTGGTTGTATATTAACTAATATATTTTAGACTCTCGGTTCTGAGGCATTTATTATGCACCATTACTTTAAAATTGTGGTAGATGCTTTTGCCAAAGACTTAATGTGCCATGTTTGGGCCACTAATAATTTAAGAGGTATGATTCAGATAGATTGGTTTCCCACTTGGTCAATTATTTAGGAAGCCATAAACTCTGCACTACTGATGGGAACATATCATTTTGATGAGCATAATTCTGTCTTCCTATAAAAGGACTGTGTAGCAGGTGATGAGAGAGATCTCACAACCTGAAAGATCAGAGTAGACCATACTTGCTAGATGGGTCAATGGAATCAGCATAAGGTAGCTTTTTATGTGTATTTCTTACACCTGTAATAAGTTGGAGTTGCTTTTCACTGGATGTGTTATCCAGTGGTGTATTTCTAAATCTCGTAGTTTATCACTTAGCCCATGGGAAGCACTATGCAGAGCAAAACTAGTCCAAATTGCATATGTGATTGAGTGCCTTTATAGTGCTCGTACTAGTTAAGGTGTTGTTGTTCAGTCGCATAGTTGAGTCTGACCCTTTGCGACCCCATGGACCAGATCACACCAGGCCTTCCTGTCTTCCACCGTCCTCTGAAGTTTGCTCAGTTTCATGTTCGTTGTATCTATGACACTGTCTAACCATCTCATCCTTTGCCGTCCCTGTCTTCTTTGACCTTCGGTCTTTCCCAGCATCAGGGTCTTCTCCAGTGAGTGCTCCCTTCTCATTTGGTGGCCAAAGTATTTGAGCTTCAGTTTCATTATCTGGCCTTCCAGGGAATAGTCAGGGTTGATTTCTTTTAGGATTGACTTATTTGATCTTCTTGCAGTCTGAGGTTGTTGATCTTTTCCCGAGCAATCTTAATTCCCGCTTGTGATTCATTCAGGCCAGCTTTTCGCATGATGTACTCTGCATATAAATTAAATAAGCAAGGTGACAATATACATCCTTGTCGTACTCTTTTTCCTATGCTAAACCAATCAGTTGTTCCATATCCGGTTCTAACTGTCGCTTCTTGACCCTTATACAGGTTTCTCAAGAGACGTGAGGTGGTCTGGTACTCCCATCTCTTTAAGGACCTGCCATAGTTTGTTGTGATCCGCACAGTCAAAGGCTTTGGTATAGTCAATGAAGCAGAAGTAGATGTTTTTCTGGTACTCTCTTGCTTTCTCCATATTCCAGCGAAT